GGAGGGATACTGTACCTGGGACTACTGGAGTAGATAGAGGAGCTTCCCAGCTTGATCCTGGATCAATGGGACCCCACACTGGATTCTAGGCCCTCCAGATTTCAGATTTCTTCTGTTTCTCCCTAGGCCCTCCAGATTTCAGATTTCTTCTGTTTCTCCCTCAACTCAAGACCCGTACTCCTTGGTTTCCCCGCTCTACTTCTTGCCTCTGACCCTCCAACTTTCCTCCCGTGACGCATCTGCACTCAACCTTCCTATGCATAATTATTTGCACTTGCCTGAATGGACCCTGCGCTGCCATGCCTCTGAGCCTTTGCAGATACTGATCCCTCAGCTGGAGATGACCTCACCCTCTGGCTGCTTCATCAGGCAGACTTTCATTTCACATACTCCAAGAAATCCCCCAGGTTTGACTCCCAGACTGACCTTGCCCCTAAGTGTTGTAATTGTTTACTGTTCTGCCTTCTGGGCACGAACAGCCTACAGGAGACATCAGTAGGTGTGTGTGAAATTAACAAGCAACTCAGCTCATTTACCAGCACCACCATCAGTGTGTATGGGGCTACCCCAAACCCCTGTGTGCACCATGCCCTCTCTGGGCCTGACTCCGGGTCAATATTACACTTCCCCATGCTGCTTCATCAAATAAGAAACATGACACAGAGGGATGCATGAGATTTGGAGTCCAAATCCTAGCTGTACCATCCAGCTGTATGACCTTGCGCCGGTGTTGTGGCCTCTTGGAGTCTTTGTTTCCTCTTTATGAAATGGGGATAATCACACTTTTGCACTGCCTCATGGTGAGGATCAAATTAGACGATGCATGTGAAACGCCCAGCGTTAGTCAATTAGGTATCCTCCTCCCCCACCACGAACTTGGAAATAAAATTGCCCTCTGAGTCTTAAGCCAGTAAAATCCACGCATCACGGAGGAGAAGAGCCAGGTGGGGGAGTGAATGAGGCGAGAGATGGTTTTGTAAACGACTGAAGAGTTTTGTGAACGGTGCAAACCGCAATCAAGGTGACCCGCCTGTAATCTCAGGGAGGCAGGACGAGGATGTGATTGAAATGGAGAAAGCAGAAGCCTAATCAATTGCATTGTGCTCTATCTGAAGGGAACAGAAGGCTGCACAGAAAACGGGGTGCAAGGGAGAATTCATTTAGCTGCTTCAGAGGGAGAAGCAGGGAAGGAACCAGCAGACATGGAGATTCTGGGCTCAGGAGGCCCTGGGTTCTGCTGACAAGCCGTGGGAGGTCTGGTGAACTCCAGATGGTTGGCTGCCCTGCCGGAGCTTCCTTGAAACCAAACGGCATCCAGGCACCCGGCAGGGCCCCACAGGGCGGACAAGAATATTCTTGTCAGACAGACTAAGAGGATTAACTTTGGAGTCAGAAGGTTCTGTCCTGCTGATTCACTTCATTGTGCCTCAGTTTCCTTCTTAGAAACATGAAGATATGGCGGGCATGGTGGCTCAAGCCTATAATCCCAGCACTTTGGCAGGCTGAGGCTAGAGGATTGCCTAAGCCCGTGGATTCAAGACCAGCCTGGGCAACATGGTGAGACCTTGTCTCTACAATAAATCAAAAAATTAGCTGGTCGTGGTAGCATGCACCTGTAGTCCTGGTTACTTGGAAGACTGAGGCAGCAGGATCTCCTGAGCCCAGCAGGTCGAGGCTGTGGTGGCCAGAAGCATGCCACTGCACTCCAGCCTAGACGACAGAGAGAACTCCAACACAAAGAAAAAAAAAGAAAGAAAGAAACATGAAGATACAACAAAACCCTATGAAGCCTTCTCTTCACAGTGTTCTGCAGGTGTTCAAAGGCAGCATGCACCTAGCAGGATGCCTGGTCCAAAGCAGACACTTTGTAAGTGGCAGTGACAAAGAAAGCCAAAAGGTCTTGAGCATCTTAAATTTTTTTTTTAATTGGTGTCTCACTCTGATACCCAGGCTAGAGGGCAGTGGCATAATCACAGGTCACCACAGCCTTGAGCTCCTGGGCTCAGGCAATCCTTCTGCCTCAGCCTTCTAGTAGCTGAAACTACAGGTACACATTACCACGCCCAGCTAATTTGTTTGGATTTTTTTTTATAGAGACAAGGTCTCCCTATGTTGCCTAAGCTGATTTTGAACTCCTGGGTTCAAGCAATCCACCTGCCTCAGCCTCCCAAAGTGTTGGGATTACAAACATGAGCCACTGGGCTTGGCCTCTTGAGCATTTTATTGCTGTTTCACAGATGAGGTAATTGAGGCTTGAAGAGATTAATCATGTGCGCAAAATCATGTAGCTAGTGCGTGGTGGAGGCAGGATTCACAGCAGGCACTAAAACTCCCGAGCTATGCTCTTATCTGCTTATTCCATGGTAGGTGGAAACACTGGCCTCTGGCTTATACATCAGGCTCCTGTGAGTTTGGTCGGTCAGAAACTGTGGCCCTCATGAAGTCTTGGTCCCTGAGAGTTTGTCTGCAGAGCTAAGGTTCCCACCTGTATGACAACCTCTCTGAGTAGCCACTTGGCCTCCCTCCATCTTATTGGCCCCATTCAGTGACCCCAGCACAGGACTGGGCACAGGAAACTCTCAACCTGCACTGACCACCTTTCTCCCTTTCCTTCAGGCCACTCACCACGAGGGGATTTCCAGGGAGTCTTTCTCCTAATAACTAGAGGTGGGAGGAACACACACACATACACACACACACATACTTGGGACAGACACTCTTCCCAAAGCCCAGAGGCAATGAAGTCCAGAGAAAAGATCATGGGCTTTGGTGTAAGGTCTGGGCTCGAATTACAACTGTGTCACACACAGCTGTGAGACCTTGGTACACTATGTACCACCCTGAGCTTCAGATTTCTCATCTACAAATGGGGCTAATCACAGAACCAGGCTGAGGACTAGATTAGATGAAAAGATGGATGTAAACATGCTTGACATTCAGCAGACACTTTGTAAATGAGTTATTATGATGACTACTTGTCTCCCCTGCCTGTGAGCTCCTCCCGGGCAGGGACAGGTCTTGCTCATGTTTGTGTTGCCAGGGTCCTGCTCAGCAGAGTCAATGCCTCACAGTGTCAATGCTTGGTGACCGCTTGCCAATCTCAGGAGTGAGTCCTAGCTCCCAGGTTCCTTCTCCATCCATTCCCTTAGGAAGTCAGAGGGTTTCCTGATGGGAGAGATGGGAATCCTTATTCCCTGCTCCCCTTGTTTCCACACGGAGGCAAGTCAGCTGCCAGAGTTTCTCAGAGGGGAAATGAGGGGGTGGGACAATTCATCATTGCACAGGTGCATTGCAGGTTGTTTAGCATCCCTGATCCCCACTAAATGCCAGTAGGAGCCACCAGTCATTGTGACAAGCAGAACTGCCCCCAGACCTCTCCAAAAGCTTCCTGGGAACAGAACTCCCCTAGTGAGATCCAATGGACTCCATTAACCCTCAGGCCTCTTCCCTCCCCTTCCTCCTTCCCTTCTGTCCTCTTTTGGGGACTCTGACAGCTGCAGAGGGTCCACTGTGATCTTCTCCTTGTCCCTGTCAAGGGAGGCCCAAGGTTGTCCCCTTGTGCCTGTGATGAACGGGAAATACGCTGAAGTCAGGTAAAGAATTAGAAAACCCACAGATTGAAGGCCACAGCAGCAATGAAAGGGACATTTTGGTCGCTCTCCAGCTGTCTGTCTTCTGTATCTATCTCTCAATGCATCCTAAACTCACAAGGAACGAGCAGTGGGACTTCTGGGTGTCTTAAAACTCCAAATCTTGGATGCCCTGTGCTTGGGAGGCATTAGGGCACTCCCTCTCCTTCCCCTGCTGCTCCCAGTAGCCAAACCTGTCTGGTTCACCGCCCACTGACCACAATCCCTCCCAAAGGAAGGATCAGGGGAATTCCGTGGTTCGAGGAGACATATTATCATTTTCCTTATTTACAACAATAGACACACACATACACACTCTTCAGAGAGGCGGTGAGCCCTTGGCAACCCTCTCCCTCAAACCCAGGCCTGGACCCCAGACCCGGCTCACAGCCTCCACCCGGCAGGGAAAGGTCTGACAAGACCTTCCCTATCTCTGTAACTTTGTCAAGAGAATCGAGAGCAGAAGGCAAATTCTCGGCACCTGGACCTGAGTGGGCTGGCAGGAGGGCAGGAAAGCAGGGGTAGGCGGTAAGTGAGGGAAGAGATATTCAGTCTCATAAATGAGAGACTGGAGGGAGAGGCTAGAGGTATGTGGGGCCTAAATGGGAAGACAAGAAATAGCTCTTGGGGCCAGAGTGGGTGAGGGGTGAGCTCTGAGTCTTCATTTATCCCATCTGTAAGGCGAGCAGGTTGTCCTGCATGGTGTCAAAGCCCCCTGCCTCCTCTGACATGCCAAGACTCTACAGGGGACTTTGGGAAAGAGCTCTGGGGATTGACAAGGACTTGTGGGTTCTGCCAGAGAGGTGGCCGATGCCTGGACAGGCTACGTCTGATCCCCGGGCTGGTACTGTGGTTCTGTGGAGGTGAAGTAGTCCTCCAGGAAGGACTGCAGGTACTCGAAGGTGGGCCTCTCCTCCGGGTCCAGGCGCCAGGTCTGCTGCATGGCCTCGTAGAGGGACTCAGGACAGCCTGGGGGGCACGGCATGTGGTAGCCATGTTCCACCCTTTCCAACACCTCCTGTTTACTCATGCCTGAAAAGTGAGGCTCTGTCAGTCAGGAGGCCTGGCCCCTCCCAAAGGGGCAGACAGGAGGAAGCCCTTCCCCATGATCCTCCCCTGCCCCCTCCCCCACAAACCTGGGTAGGGGACTCGGCCCTTGCTGATGAGTTCAGTGAGCAGGATCCCAAAGGACCACACGTCTGACTTGATGGTGAATCTGCCATAGAGGGCAGCTTCTGGGGCCGTCCACTTGATGGGGAACTTGGCCCCTGCAGAGGGTGGGGGAGAAGGGAAAGTCAGTGCGGGGGGGGTGGGGGGTGCTGAGAATGCCTGGATTGAGAGAACGGGGACTTTAGGAAGGGGGATCTTGGGACCCTGAGCATAGGGGTCTCGGCACAGCAGAAAGCACCTGGTATCTGGTCAGTACCTACTAAGTGTCTAGTCTAGTGGTGGGCACTTTCCAAATATTGTAATAATTCTCATAACAACAGCTAGCATTTGTATAACCTTTCCTATGTGCCAGACACTTTTAAGTGATATATATGCATTAACTCACTTAACCCTCACAAAAACTCCATGAGATAGATGCTATCAGTACCTCGTCTTACAGATGAGGAAGGGGGAGGCACAGAGTAGTTAGGTAACTTGCCCGGATCACACAGCTAATGAGCAGCTGGGATTCATAGCCAGGCATGGTAGCTACAGAGTTCACACTATTATATTACACTCTTCTGTCTCTCATTTAAGAATTATGGCTGTGCCTGGCACGTAGCAGGTGCCTGGTAAATAGCTGCTGACATACTGTTGTCTGAATATTTTCATTTTACAGAAGAGGAGAGACAGCTCACAGAGGGCCCGTGGCCGAGAAGTGGCTGGCTAACCTGGGATTTGAACCCAGCATTGCCTCTCACACCTATATCAGGATGGGGGTGTCCTGGGTGGTCTGGGGTGAGGAAGGGTTCCCGAGTGGGAACTCTCGGCAGCCTCTGGTTGCTCTGAGAGCTCTTGGGAGGTGAGGCGCGGCCGGGCACCTTGCCGGGGGTTGTACTCATCGTCCTCAATAAGGCGGGCCAGCCCGAAGTCGGCGATCTTGCACACCAGCCGCTCCCCCACCAGGATGTTGGCTGCCCTCAAGTCCCGGTGGATGTAGTTCATGCGCTCCATGTAGGCCATCCCTTCGGCTACCTGGGGGCCAAAGTGGAGAGGAAGACTCACAGCACTCTGCGAGCAGCGAGGGACCATTTGAACAGCCCACTTTCCAGACGGGGCACTGAGGCTCAGGGAGAGGCGGTGCCCTTCCTCAGGTCGCTCGGCTGATGGCGGGGGTACTCTTCCAGGGGTAGGCTAGGTGTTGGAAGGCCCACGGGATTGCGAAAGGGAGGGCCGGGAGTCGAAGGTTGCTGTCCCAGCTTACCTGGGCTGCCATGTCCACCAAATGGGGCAGCCTCAAATCCTGGCCCTCCTTGTTCTTAAGGAAGTCCAGCAAACTACCTGGGAAACGAAGCCAGAAAATCAGCAGCGGGACCCTAGCCTTGGCTCCAGGCCCGCCTTCTCTCGCTTGGCCCCGCCCCCTCCCCACGCCCCTCCCACCTAGGTCCGCCCCTC